ATATATTGAAAAAAGCAGAAAGACCTATGGTCAAGCACTTTGTATCAGTTGACTGTTTTTTGAAATTATATATATTTTTATATTGAAAAATACGTGAACACAAGTTTTGAAAATGATGTAGCATGCTCTTCTCTTATCCTTATCAGTCGTTATGCAAAACATCGCTCGTTAAGTAAATCAGTATTCTTACAATTCATTTTGCTCGTTAAGTAAAATGCTCATTATGCAAAGTCCTCGTTAAGCAAGGTACCATTATATTATTATAATTTTTATTAGACAGAAATTCCATTATTTTATTAAATCTTGAAATTTATAAAGCTAATTTATATAGGAAATTAATTAATTATATCATAATTTTCTCTTGTAGTTTGTTATTATCTCATTCGATAAATATGTTTATTTTATTTTATCTCAACCCGCATTTTATTATTTCCTCTTGTGTGGTGTCACTATCTTCATTGAATTGGAGAATAATATTAGTTTTCCATTTATCAATTAATTATTTTAAAATTATATAACTTATTTAAATAATCACGTAGAATTTCAATTAATTTAAATACAAATTGTCTAAAACATTTTGAACGTTGAATTGATGTATAATTAAATCCTTTGTTTCAGAAATCTAATTAATCAAGTATATTTTAACATAAATAGCAGTATAGTGCGGATAACGATTCAGACATTATTGTTTGAAACCGGACTAATAGAGTAACTTAATACATAAACAACATAAAAATAATATAACAATAAATTAGAGCTAAGTTCTAGAGAAGTAAGCAATTGACGAAAATGTGTCCTATTTACATTTCTATTCTCCTTCATAATTTAGTGAATCCGGACTGATCGAAGCCGCACTATGCGAGTATCTCTGTAATTGCAATTCATTAAACGTAGTTTCGAAGATTACTTGTAAACATTTCGTCAGAACTGATGCAAATATGTTTATTTTCTTATATGATTTATGTAAGAGTCTTATCAGACTTGTAATGACTACATAAATAATTGCTAATTTTAAAGTAATTATCTCAAAAAAAAACGAATTTGAGTTATGACCTTTTTTTTTCATTCAACTTTGATGCAAAGTTCAGCATGTGTATTAATATTTAAATAAAATGATCCAAATAATTAAGTAGAACTTAAGCATATAAATAAATGGCTAATGTATTTAGTAAATAAAACGATGAACTTAGTTTAGTGATTCAATAAAAATATATTTATTTTGGTTTTTGTATTCCTAATTGGATTTTGAGTAATTAAAGAAACAACTAATATTACAAAAAAAAATACAATATTTACTTATCATTATTAAATGTATACATTTAGTACCCAAACTTTCTCAATTCATTAATCACTAAACTCAATAAAAAACAAATATTTGAATTTATTATTAAGTTAACTACACAAATCATAGACCCAAATTATATATATTTTGTGAACTAGTTGTAAAGTCATTGATATTTCATTTTTTTTAATTCCATTCAAATTATCCAAAGTTTCTAAAAGTAACGTCATCATTAGAAATACATGTTTCTAAAATATAAAAGTATAATTCGATAAAATACAATTAGGTAAAATACTGCAAAGTTATAAAACAAATTGTACATAAAATCACAGTCTTCTTATGAAAGTAGTAACGACCACGAGTTTTGTTTTTAATAATTTATATTTAGAATGAACAACGTAAAGCAGTGTTTGTTTCTTCAATCGTGAATTATTTTGCATATGAAACATGCATTTTCCACATCTGCACGAAACATTTCTCGCTATCATCGATGGAAATGAGGATCAAATGCATGAAAATGCAATTATGAAAGTGGTAACCATCACAAGTGAAAAATGAGGAACAAAGGCATGAATAAAAAAGTGCGACTTCGATTAGTCCGTTTCACTATAATCCGGTTTGTATTTGTAAAAACAAACTAAATATTAATTAATCAAATTAAAAATAAATAGTACAAAAAATTATATTTTTTCATCGAGTCTCCTTATGTATTGTTTGTTTTTTATGCGATTTTAAATAACCTAGGTTAGTTCGGTTTCAAACAGTCCGAAATATTCAATTATCCGCACTATAAGAGATAAATAATTTTAAAAAACAAATTTCTATTAATTAATTTTGTTTTTATCAATGAAAGTAACGAAAATACAAATGATATTGAGTAAATAAATAAGATTTTGCTATTATAGAAGTAAATAAGATAAAAATTTATATTTGTATCAATTAAATTTCTTTATTATCTATGGAATTAATGAAAAGTTTTCTATAGTTCTATCAATTGAAATTGTTTTTTTTTGCTGCAATAAACGCAAATAGAAATAAACATATTTTAAACATGATTGCTGTGAATATTACGTTCAAGTATTTACGAAATTATTCCTGGCGTGCAATAAATTATAAGACTATTAGACTTTTGTTGGCATCCGCCCATGTTGCAAAGGTTACATAAAAATATGTTATTGTTTGGATAGGTTTCCGGGAACCGGGAGACTAAAAACTCAGTGTGGTACACACAATTTACTTATTTTTTTTTAAGTATTCTTAGTGAGACTTTCAATAAAGATTTTTTTAATCAACAATACTTTCACAAAGAAAAATCTGTGGCAATCGAAATCCCAACAACCATAATCCTGACAATTTCAAAATCCCGACAGTATCAAAATCCCAACAACCATAACCAAGACAGTATGAAAGTCCCGACAACCATAATCCCGACAGTATCAAAATCCCGAAAACCACAATCTCGACAAACACAATTACATCATAAATGAACAAAATTAAGACATTATTATACTGAATACCTCCGCTTTGAAAATGTCAATACAAATCAAATTAGAATGCAGCAAAATAAAAATGTATTCTAAAAAATTATTATATAAAATTATTTTTTTATACATAAATTATTGTTTTTTTATGCGATTTCTATTTTATTTTGTTTCTCATTTGTACGGTTTCAATCAATATTAACGGAATCGATTAACTTTATAGTTCAGTTTTACATATATATGTCGGAGGATAGTAGAAATATGCAAATATATTTTGTTAATTAGTCCACACGTATCAAGGATCTCACATTCTTTGGTTTTCGAGTATTGTGTGAGATAAACAAGACCAGAGAACAGAGAAACAATCAGAGTTGGGAGACTGTAGGTTTTGGGCGAGTTGCTGAGCTTGGATCTCCAATTCTTGGTTTTCCTCGAAGTTGTTGTTATAACAATGACTTTGCCATACTTTAACTTATATTTTTCTCTCTCTATCCGATATATAGTTTATAGATACTAAGTTTATATTTTTTAGACAAAAAAAACAATTAACTAATTGATTATTAATAGATTAATTATATTTTAATTAAGTTTTTTTCTAAACACTTACAATTTCGTATTTTTTTCTGATAATAATTGTGTAGTTCCATAAACAAATATTTCCATTATTGTTTAATTTATATTAATAATATCTACTTTATATAAAAAGATAATGGTATTAAAGCACAATATTAACAACAATTAACAATATTTTAATTAATTAAATTTTTTAATAAACTTATTTTTTACAAATATTTTTAAATTTAAACGGTAATAAAATGTACACAAAACATGGGAATAATATACAATTTTTACATAAAATGATCGATAACTGAGTTAGTAACAAGATGAAAGTACGTATGTAAATGTTATCGATTGCAACATTTCCTTGAATATTTTAACGAGTCTAATTTAAAACCTTTTTCTATTAGTATTCAACCAACGTTTTCCTTATCACAAATCTAAATAGATTTAATAACTTCAGTTAAGCACTTCTAAATATTGATCTTCTGTAAATCTTAACAAATTTCCAAGAAATGATTCTGGCCTATATCCAATGTCGTTTGGCACAAACAAACAAATATGAAATTCACCCTCTAGAAAAATATTCGAGGGTTAAAAAATCGATAATTAATACATACATCTTATTGACTTCAAATATTACTCAAATTAATTAATATTTCTTAATTTTAACCAAATAAATGGATTTTATTTAAATCCATCGTTTCTCAACTGAAAATGACAGCTATTACCTTGTGTCAAAGATGTTAATATTCATGTAAAATACAACTGTCTATATTGAAATCCCGAAAATCAAATTCCCCACATTTGTAATCCCGACAACCATAATCCCGACAGTTGTCGATATTTCTATTGCCACCGATTAAAATACACTTAGTAATTTTGATTGGGTAATGGGATGAGACTATATTTATGAGATAGCTAAGAAAGAAATTTTTAAATAAATAAATTTAAAAAAAACCTGAAAATATTTCATCGTTTTATGGAAAATAGTTGTAAATATGAAATAACTGTTTATATTTACTTTACATTTATCAAAACATGATGATGCAACTTTTGTCTTATCTCAGTAAATACAACTTTTTTTGTCATTAGAAATTATAAGCAGTAATCAGAAGCCTCGTAATTATATAATACAATTTATATTAGAAATGACTTCAGTGAATAGAATTTTTTTTATTTTATTTCTTAACACCGACAAATTTGAAAGTTGATAGCCAATTCGCAAACAAAATTATCTTGTCTTCAATTTATTTAGAATTTATATTTTTATTTTGATCAATTCATAAATCCGGACTGATCGAAGTCGCACAATGCGAGGTATTGCTGTATTATATTTTCTACATAAAAGTTCCAATTATCCTATATTTGAAGATATAAGTATTGTGTGTATATCCAAAGTCCAAACTACAACTACAATTTATATCTTTTTATCAGAAAATAGCTTATACCTGCCAACAGTGTATTTCCTCAAAAAAATCAAAATAGACTCAAAAGAAAAACTTTCCAACAAATGAAATCATTCCGAAAACATGATTAAGTGGAACGTACATTGAAGTCATGTCATGTGGTTAATTATATTTGTAATTAAAACAAAAGACTGAAATAGCCGAATCGTAGGAGGCCGAAAACCCACAACGAAAATGGATCAAGGCTGAACCATAAACGGGATAAAGGCCGAGAACCGCAACAATTCGATAAATGAGCTACTCAAACACAAGTTAATCGTGTTAATAGTAGTGCGGAGAGCGGCGGGCATCTCACATCACACATATAATATAACGCGTGCGGCCGCAGTTCGTTTGGCACAGGCAATAGTAAATAAACCATGAGAGAGAATTTTCACTAAGACACATTATTTTTACGAAATATCGCATAAATTTCCCCCCTCAAAACATCGGTCCGCTATAGTAGGGAAAAACGCGACGCACAACTGGAAATAGAAGTTGTTCAAGCTCTGTAACATTACTTTATTTCAGTATGCATTTACATATCGAACAACAAACTGTACGCGAGTGATTATATCTAGTTGTAACCGACAACAAATAAATTTAAGATAAGTTAACAACAACATTAGCAGCAGCAAATATTGGATAAGAATTGATCTCGTTGAAGTATTTTCAACCGCTTGAAGTGGTTAAGGGGAAAGTGAACATGCATGCCATTAAGAGGGTTTGCTCGCAATTACGTAAGTATAGTAAAAATCGATACTCGTTTTATTAGCAGCCACTTCAGTTTCAACTGAAAGAAGGCATCGGTCGCAACGCGAATCCGTCCGCAGGAAAAAAGTGCGAATATTTCAGTTTTAATACATTTCGAAAGGCAAATTAAACACAAACAAGATTAGATATAAGGACAATGAGCAGTAAGTGAATGTAAACAATTAATTTAAGTTTAAATCAGATATTAAATTAATTATTGATTGATATTTTTTTTTCTCCATCTATTTTTATACTTGATTACATGTATTTTCAAATAATCAATATTATTAATAGTAACTTTTATTAAGTGATCGTGATGAGATGCTCTTTTATCATTATACATTTTATTATTTTCTCTCTTATGAAAACAATTATTTTCTTAAACCATCCAATTGTTATCCGTTTTAAACGTTGCTTAACTTTCAATAAGAAACCAAAGAAAAGTGTTAATTTGTTAGATTTATATTTATAAACTATATGTTTATTTACAAACTATCAATCCAATAAAAAATGTAAAACTTGTATAAAGTTTGTATAAAAAATTTGCATATTAAATAATAAAAATGTTATTTTGTTCAGTATAAAGAAAATATTGTTTTCTACTAAATTTAGTATAAAATTTGCTGTAAAAGTTCTAAATAAATTATTTAGTATTTTTACAAGTTTAGAATAAACTTGTAAATTCAAAGAAATGAAATAAGGCAATTACATGTATCAGCAAATTTCAATGAAATTTAATTAGTCTTAATCATTTATTTACATAAAGATGACTGAGTTTTTGGTCGATGATCATTTACAAAGAAAACTTCATAACTAATACAGTTATGACCTCAAATATTATTTACATAATGATGATAAATATAAACAACAATAAATTTAATTATATAAAGTAATGTGTTACAAAATATAATTTGTTTATATAATTATGGCGAAATTTGAACAATACCATTTCACAAAAGAAAAAGGGATTGTGTACTTTTTTCTTAACAAATTAATTAATTATAATATATTACTGCATCAATATAAAAATTGATCATCATCATAATTGTTTTTTGTTAATTACTTTTTATTTCTATATTTGGGATTGTTACAATAAATATTATTTTTAATTATAAGGTAGAAAGACTTCTGTCAGTTGCTCTATTAAAAATATTTGAATGAATGAAATTTTGATCAATATTCGATAGTTTATTAATATTGAAATTATTATCTTTTGTAAATGAAAATTTATGAACAAATATATATTCCAATATTTGAATGTTTCATCTTCGCTGTCTTAGATGTAAAGTAAATAGGTTGAAATAATCGAAATTTGAGAAATCAACTAAATTAACTATTACCTAGCATTATGATGAATATTACCGAACTGTATTTTGTGAGTAAACCTAAAAATACTCTCTAATTTTAGATCCAAATCGGGTGCCAAACAGATTGAGAGGTCGTTCGAGGCCAAAACGCGAAACTCTCGACCCCATCGTCGGCGCCGTCGAAGAGGAGCTCGAGGTACCTCAAGCATCGGAAATCGTATTTCGCAAGAAGTGGCGCATTAAGAAGTTCCACAAAACCATAGCCAAACGCGATTCCATCGACAGTCCCGTATTCCATTGCTCCGTCAACGGCGTCACCACCTCCTGGAACATATCTATAAGATTTTGGAAAGGTAAACTATTATACAATAAAAACCTAATATTTGTTTTAATAATAGTTTGAATCGTTTTTAGGACCTAACGGAAAGAAGGTGCTGAACCCGTTAGTCGTTTGTTTAAACTTGACAGGATGCGAGACGGAGGAAATGAGTCAGGCTCGGGTCAGATTCCAGTTCGGTGTTTGGGATGCAAACATCAGACATTGGGAGTGCTGTCCCATAGCCAACGTGGTGCTCAATTTAGAGAACACCCAAGAACTACTCTCCGTAGGCTACAAGAGTTTAGGGATATTAGATAGGCACATAGACAATGGTACTGTTCACAGGAGAAACCATTGAATATTAGTTGTCTGATGTTTAACTTTCGCAGATAACGATGTTAGTATTTTGGTTAAAATACAGATCATCCAAACGGAAGAGGAAAGGCACAATCTGTCTCAGGATCTGGCAAGGATCATGAACAAAACTGGCGACGAATACGTCGATACTCTAGTTGAGTGCGGCGTTGATCCCGAGGACATCTTAAGATCAGACGATAGTCTGAATTCCGAAAACAGCAGGGAAACCAATCTCAAAGTGAACAGTCTGATTATAAAAGCGCGCAGCCCGATGTTAGCAGTTATGCTCATGTCACAGAACGACAATGATGTAAATAAATTAAAACACACCGATCAAAATTTATTACATTACATGATTTTTTTATTCTTGCAGCAATTTAAGTACAAATTGGATTTAAAGGAAATTAATTATAGCTTGGTGAAGGAGCTGTTCCGCTATATGTACACCGATAAGGTGGATGGTATAGACGCGCTTTGCGGGAAACTGCTTTCGCTAAGCGTGAAGTTCTGCATCCCTGGATTGCAGACTCTCTGCGAAAGGGCTCTATTGGAGACGATCACACCTAACAATGTAGCCAATATCCTTTTACTCGCCGACCAATGCAAGTGCGAGAGCTTAAGAAAAGCTGCGCTCCATTATTGCGAGGATTCCGATACCATCAAGGATAATGCCGTCATTGGTAATAAAATATTCTACCTCTACTGTAGCACGGACTTGAAAAAGAAAATAATGTAGTCAAATATAATTGGAACAGTATTAAAATAAGCATTTATTAGAAAGTATAACTAAGTTGTTTGTTTGTTTTTTTTTGTGGATGGAAATAGATGATTTATACTTATCTTATTTATTTAAAGGTAAAACCTTGGCTTGGAGAGTAATGGAAATGGTGAACCCGGAATTGTTCTTGGAGGCGTGCGAGAGTATTAATAGTTCATCCAGTAATCTGGACAGTCCTTCTACTCCTGGTTCTTACAGCGACTTTGACGTTTAACTTATGGTCACTCCTTTTAATTAAGTATTACAATTTGTAAATATTTCAAATTATCACACACGCTTACTTTATTAGATATAATTAAATATTTATTCTATTCGTTTTATATTTAAATATTATAAACTTTAATTAAATAAAGCATTGTTTTTATAATTGTTAATTCTTTCATTTTAATTAAAATTACTAAAAATCACACGCAAATTTATAAATATAATAATCTCTTTTTTTTTTGCATTTTGATAAATTTCAATGTTTACTTAAAAATTAAAAGTTGATAACGTAATATTAATTTTTAATTAACAAATCTGTATGTTTAATGAATTACATAAAAATGTCAAAATACTGATAATATTGTAAACTTATGCTCAGCATTTTTTAAAATTAAGTTTTAATCTGTCTTTTAAAATATGATTATCAAATGTGAACTTGCCACAGGTTAACAACAAAAAAATTAAACTATTTGTTCTATTCGTAAAACGTTTGAAAAGTATTTTCTTAAACTTATATTTCCATTAGAAGTTTGATCGTAAACTAGTTCCATTTTATTAAGCAAGCAAGAATATTCAATTTCAAAGTACTATTTCAGAATGTTTATTTTAATGTTTTTTTTTATTTAAACTTTATTACAGAAATATCTGTTAACACGACTATTTTTAGATTTGACTGTTGAAAATGTAGCCTCGCATAAACCTATTATACATTTAATATTCTATATAATTTACTTACAATAGTTGTACAGAAAGGTATTTTTTTATTTATTTATGTAAGAATATACATTTACGTATACAAATGAAGAATTCATAATAAACTTTTATCTGAAATGGCTATAAAAAGGTGTACGAAATAAAGCACTACAGTTTAATACATAAATATATTTATTACGGGTGTAAAAATTGTTAATAAATTATTAAAATAATTATTAAATTACATCACGACGAATAATACTGGGTAGAAAAGTTTTGATTCTCACAATAATCACTATTTTATACTGTTTATAAACATTACGAGAAATAAAAATACAAATATATAAATTTTATTCTATGGCTGCTTTACTTGCGAAGGACGTGAGGGAGGATATTTCGTTGGGGCTGGAATCAGTAGGCAACCGATTGAATTCTACCTCTTCTCCGTTCTCTCCACAAATAGGATCCGAAGGCCATTGCTTGTGGCTTGGAGCGTAAAGGATAAGCATAGCGCATATGTAGATATTCCACATGCCGTAGACTCCGGTGAAGAGCGCGGAGGAGAGTTCAATGTCCATGCTGTCGTCCCATTTGTGTTGTCCTTCGTTGATCTGACTCAGGATGAAGGAGACGATGGTGATTGCGGCGCAAATCAATGTGGCGAGCATAAGGAAATTGAAGCGGTAAATGATGCCTTCGTAATGCAATCTCCGAGCAGAAGACATGTTTGGAAGGACGGCGCGTTTGATGCTTATGTTCCTGAACACATTCCAAATCATGTAGCACAGGAAGATGAAATAAATTCCAGCCGAGATTCCAGCTAAAATGATAAAAGACAAGGCCAGATTAGTTCCGACCGGTGTAACCCAAATCGAGTAGAACGGATTTCGGAGTTGAACGCCTCTCTCGCACAAGTCGAAGATCAGTAATGAAGTACATCCGATGACGATGGCGCTAAGATGTTTCCAGTAGAGACGCAAAGAGTTCTTCTCTCCTTGATCGTTGATCAGCATGTGCTCTCCGGCGAAGACAAGCCAAAAGGATAGAAGCATTGCGTAGAAAATCCCTTGGCGAATGTCGCCCAGCAAAAGCATGTACGGCATTTCGAAGAAAAGAGTCAAGAACTCTAATGGTAGATCCAAGAATGCCAATGTTCCGCCTAATGATATGAGCATGTACTCTAATAAAGCTGGAGTTCTTTGCAGAATGTGTACACGATTCCAGAACCATGTCATTATAGCCAAAATAATCGGGAAGAAGACGGCTTTCATGCTCAACCAAACCCTTGTAAAGCCTCCATTCATATGAATAACATGCAAATGTATATCGCTGATCCATCCAATATTGTTCCTCTTCTTATCGGCTGGAAGACGCAGGTTCAGCATGTAATAATCATGATGCAACGAGCCCAATTCGAACAAGGGAACGGTAGTGCAATTATAAGGATACCCCTCAGAGTTAGCGTCTTCGACGTAATCGAAGCTACAATCCATCAAACGTTTCTCCTCCGCATGACTATAGTACTTCCACTCCGTATCCCCTTTGTTTTTGTAGAAGAGCCTCGCGTTCAGCGTCAGTTCAATGGACGGCTCCAATTTTAATTCCTTCTCATACAATAAATCTATCTGGATGACACCGACAAGATTCTGCTGCCAGCGAGAGAAATCCAACCGAGGCATCCCTAAAGGCATCGCGCCAACAAACACAATATCTTTGGCTGTGATGTGTTTATCAATAATCTTATCCCTGTGGCTCAGCTCAACTTTCTGCTTGCAGTCTCTGGCTATCCATCGGCTGGGATCTGTATTTTCAGGATGCGGATCGATGCATGCCGTGGAAAGGATGGTCATGGTACTCGCCGGTGCCGGTGCTGTTAAGCCACCAATAAGAAAGCATATTACCTGACCGATAAGGAATACGGCCACCAGAACACTCAGCTTCCTTCCGCTCAAGTTTTCCAGAATCGTACCGGGCATCTTTGAAGATTTTTTTTGTAGAACAGCACTAGTTATTTGGTGTAAAAGATTCTGCGTCGCTCAAGCCGCCATTTGCACCGCGCCAAACACTGAAAGACACCGTTGAGCGCCACAACCGGATTGCCTTTGAACAATGCCGCAATCCATCCGCCTGCAGACAGTGATGGAGAGCAGGTAGAAAGAGGTAGAGTAATCTCCTGGAGATGCAGAATCCGCATCGCTCATACCACCTATATGCAACAGATCAAAGCCGAAGAACCGCGTTCAACAAGCGTCATCTGTTGCATAAAGGACAAATGATTATGTAAAGGGAAATCTGTACTTCTTCACTGCAATTTAATTATCAGCAATTTCATTAATTATTGCTAATGTATGAACTATTCCTATAATAAGATCATAAAATACTTTAGTAGAATCTACAATAAATCTAAATATACCTAATATGACTTTTTACAAATGTTAGAATTTTCTTCTATTTAATGTGTTCAAAATTTTCGTTAAAAGAATTGAAATCAAAGTTTTAGATAAATCATAATTAGAATTTAACCAGCAAGGAGAAAATTTGCATGTCTGAAGTTTTGGATGATTTAAAAGAAAAAATCGTGAAAATAAATAATATATTTACAGTAATGCAAAACAGTTAAAGTACATTAAATTAATATAAGTAAATCACATAATATGCATAAATGTATAAAGGCTTTTAAAAAAAAATCTATACGTAATAAAATAGGAAGTCTCGTGAGTCAAGTCTGATCGTCGTCGTGACTGGGCAGTAAAACCCATTCCGATGATGGGGGTCTGCTTTGGTTGCCACCAGGTATATTCACTAAAGCTTGCTTCTGTTTCAGCAAGTTCTCTTTTAACAGCATCAGCGATTCCCTCTCACTCTGTAGACGGTCGATGCTCTTCCGCATCTCCTGCGACTGTGCGATCTGCGGAGACTTCAGCTTCTGCGATTCCAGTACGATCTCCGTTTGCACCTGAAAATCGATCGCATGAAAATACTTGTTTATTTTAATTGCCAATTGTATTTACCTTCAAGTATTCTTGTGCCAACTTCTTGTGCTCCTCGAAGAGCGCTACACTCTTGGAGTCGTTGAAATCCGGAGTTGCAGGCCTAAACTCTTCGTCGAGTAGTAGATGCATGTTCTCCAAATCTGCATCCGTCTTGCTCGTCTCATTTGTGCTTTGTACCATACTCGTACTACCTGGAATTAGAAACAGACAATTAGCATGCGTAACAACAGCCGGCAGCGATTCATTCCATCACTCATCATTACTCACACGAGTATCTCTTTCTATGGAATTGATGATGTACAAGCATTATGCAAATTGTATTAAAACAGAAACAAATGATTCGAAAATATGAACAATTAAAGCAGAGTTCGATAAAAATATAAGTAGTGTATTTATATAATGCGATTCTCGGGCAGTTGGGAACAAACACCCCAGGTGCAAAAATGCAAAATTAAAAATAAAAACGTTCCGATTTAAATTTTTATCATTAGTCATTATTAGTCACAATGGCACAACGACGATGGGACGGATTCAAAAATTCATGGGCGCCCTGCCAAAAATCCAAAATGAAAACATTGTTAGCGTCCGTTGATTATGACTAACTCCTGCTAATAAAATTACGAAATAAAGAGAAAAACACGGGCACCACTCTCGGGCTCCGCAGGATCTGAGAGCTAAACGGCACATAAATAATACGGGCAGAGGAAGCCATCCGCGCCGATAATTAACACTCGCGTTTTGATGTCTTCCGACGATGTTTATGTTATCGTTACATAATTAATGGATGTTGTGTGTCCATTAAATTACCGGCGATTTAACTTCTTCCTCGTATCAATTTGATGGACGCACGATTGGAACAACGGAAAATAAGTCGATTTACTTTTCAAATGAAAAACGCATCAGTCATTTCTTATTCCAATATTTAAATGAATGTATTGTAATGTAAAGTATTTGAACTGTATAAATATACAGGTAACCTTTTAATAGTTCTATAATAATGGGAATTTCCAAAGTTTAAAGGAATTTTACAGAGGTTTGAAAGAAACGCTGCTTTGTAAATTAAAAAAATAATTTAGTTAATTTCTTAATTAGATAATGTTATTTAATTCAATATAGAATATGAACGTAACTATGCTCAAAACCAGTTCATTGATTAATAATTTAATATACAAAAACGAAATATTTTAAGACAAAATGTTATAAAATTTAGTAGTCAAGTAAAAAATATAGAATAATATTTTAAAATGAGTTGTTTTTTTTTAATTTGTAAAATAAGTACATAATATTAATAATTTATACTAGTAATATAAATTAATAAAGTTATGGTAAATAAGCGACAACTATTATTTTATTCAATAAGAAAATGAGCATTTCCTTATAAGTATTATAAATTTAATGTTCGTGTTTGTTAGAAGAATTTATTTTCAGTATTTTACAGAATTCAAGCATAGTCATATTAATTTTTAATAGGACAACCCAAAATATTTGTTATGTTCGCACAATAAGCACATGTTCGCATAAGGAACACTTTACTAACTTATTAACGTTACTTTTAGAAGCCAACCCTAGTGGTGAAATGAAGCTTAACTCGCTTCTTAATTCAGAGATCGGTTAAGAAACAATTCGGGTAGCGATTTTTGTCTTTGTGCGTTAACCGAACACCCACTGTAATGAAAGAAGTGAGAATTCAAACTTGTAGAATTTATAGAATGTATATAAGAAACAATTGAATAAACATAAATATAATATCATCAAGTCACGAATTAATATTAAATGAGTGGAAAAACTTCCTAAACCTGTTTTTTTTTTACAATTCATAATTAATCATAATGATTTAATTTCATTTCGTATTAGTTCTCCGAATCTCAACATGCGCAACAATGCGTTAAACACAACCGGTCAATTACATAATCTGTAATATTGTTAAGAACACGTATTTTTTTCTTAAATAAATTTAACGTCAATGCCGAGTGGGTTTTTATGCAATCTGGCATCGAAGTAATAAGATGTAATTAACTTATTTAAAGCTGACCAACTTACTGTTTCAAAACCATTTCGAAAATATTATTTTATTACTAGACTCGTGTCTTGAAACAAGTGTGTGCACTTTATAGGCGGTTGCATTAGATAACAAAGAACAAACAAACACGTAACTAAGGTTTCTTTTTAATTAAATATTTAATCTGAACACTTATAATTAACATCAAATAGAAGAAAGCTTGTGGAAGATACAGGTTGCATCTTGAACAAGTGCATTTTATATGCGCATTAGATAATAAAGTTAGTATCACGTAACTAAATGTCTCTTAAAAGTAATTAATTAATTAATTTTAGATTAGTTTAAATAATTAATGAGTTTAATAATAAGAAAACTTTCAATTGTGAAATTGTAAATTTATATTAGAAGTTTTGAATAATAAATAAATTGTATCAATTGTCAGATCAAACGTTACTGGATGTAGTAGGAAGTTCTCTTTGATGTTGGATTATATAGTTGCGGATGAATATGTTATTGATGTAATCAGAAGGATTTTAATATATTTAAATTTAGTTCTTTGAAATTAGTTTATGGTTACGAATGAATATGTTATAGATGATATCATGAGGATTATAATATCAAATTATTTTTAACATGTAGTTTTAGCGAACGTAATATCCGTTTCCGGTGTAAGAAAGATCCTTGCGATAATCTTAATCCACGTGCTTATCTGGATGTGAGAGCTTTGATAATAAAATAACATAAAATTAAAAAAAATTACCATTTTCAGTCTTCATTTCTTTATAAATAATCCAACTACTGTGAGTCTCGCGGGAGGAAATGACCGCTGGAAAGTCGCACATTGTAAAACGTCTTTATTTTTTTCGAAAATTTGTTTCGAAAACTGTTTTTGTTTTGTTTTATATTTATTTTTTTTGTGTGTGTTTTCTGCAGGTGGTGGGTTTCACCAGAAGGATTATACGTAACTTCTTCGGAGCGCGATGCGTGTCGGAAGCATTCACATGGTGCGTGGAAAAGTCGCGTGGAAATTCGCGGAAATCGTTTGGGACATTGTCTGGAGGTGTCCCAGACACACACTCACTCATGTACACACATACACGCAGCCACACACATATCCACGGAGCACGAAGATCGCGCGCAACACTATATAAAAGCCGCGACTCGGAATCCCCAAAAATACACACACTCGTTACTAAGAAATCCCTTCCCGCCTCCCCCTTCTACAGCATCCAAAGAGTCGGGCAGCCACCGTGGCAGGATCTCCTCAATTGTTTATCATTTATATGAAAAACAAAACGGATAATAAACAATTGATATTCTCGGTGCCATTGAAAACCTGTTTTCCCGCCTCTCGGAAAATCCGGTACCCTCTTCGAACCATACCACCGATGTACAGAACAGAACTAAATTTATACTTCACGCGAAAATACTCTAAGGCGGAATAAATACAAGCAGGACCGGCGTTCGAATCGCAGGTGCAAATTTCACGTCCATGACTCAAGACAATAAAGATCTATAGCTATTATTCAATACTTGTACACTTCCATCCGAATTTGCAAGCAAGTTGTCAAATGGTGTAGAAGCCAAAACGTAATAAATCATCAAGAAAGTTTCAATTTGTGACATTAATTGAAATAAAGACAAATTATTTCAATATTTTGTATTTTATAGTTAAATCTCCCAAGGTTTTAAATGCAGTCTAAATTATAATTTTAATTTTCAGAAAATAAATTGAATGCCAAGTTTGAATTTACAAAATTTATAATTCAAAGCGCCTTAATTAATGAAAAAAACTGAATACAGTAATACCTCGTTTAACGCTTTCATGAATAACGCGGTCTGGTCTACACAAAGACTAAAAAGAGCTCTAAAATTTCCTATTTACTATATGATATATATAGCTTCGTTTAACGCTGGAACATCGTTAAGCGAGGTCTTACTGTACATTCATACTTATTTATTACATAACTCAATATGTTTCAATTTACTATAATTGGTAGACATTACAACATGTGTAAGTCTAAGATTTATGATCTTTATAGATTCTACTTTCACCTTTCATACATGAATTATATAACCTTGACCATTCGTTAAAGTAACAAGTTTTCACATATTCGATTTCGACAAATATAGATTACATTATATTGATATACAGCAATAACCCGGACTATTTGAAACCTGATGAAGCCGCACTATGTGAGGTATTGCGTGTAGTTACAAAATATATATTATTCTCTCTCTCTAAATGATTTAGTGAAAAACTGACGCTTAAATAAATTGTGTTTATTTCTAGCTTAGAGCCGGCGATGTAAAATAAGCAATTTACGAAGAAAGAAATGATTATCGTCCATCATTTATAAATCATAAAAAAAAGAGAAGCTACAGAAATATCATATGGTTATTCAAAGCTGTTCCACGAAACGATGTCTCAGTATCGAAGAATTTCCGTTTATATATTTGCTGCATATCCATGTTTCATTTTGTATGAAACTTCATTCAAAGAATTATATCTGGTTTGATGTGTATACAAGAATAATTCAAAGAATCCAAACAGATTTTGTATATAACAAAAAAAAAGTAATGAAGCGATACAAACAAGTGATTCAGTTGATTTTGGTATGTGTAAGGTATTTATTATTATTGTTGTTATAAGATTTGATGATTTGGCTTAATAAAACTTGTTCAATTTCTAAACATAAATTATTAAAAAAATAATCTTAAAACTTCAAAGATTTCATTTAAATTAAGAAGTTGTCTTTTCGTTCCATATTAAATCATATTATACTAGTTTTGATATAATTGTTTATTGCATTAAAAAAGTATTTCTATATCTTCTTGTATTTATACAAACGTTTCAATTTATTATGTAATGGTAAACAGTATGAATAGAATATTTAATATGAAAGAATGATAAATATTTTTTTTTATAAACAAACTTGGAAATGACGAATGTTTAGTAAAAATAATTGGTTGGCGAAATGCGTTGTAAAAATAAATTAAATAGATATTGTTACGGCTTCGGAGAAAAGTTTTATCATAGTTCTCTTCTCATGACTTCTGTAATGTACGGTTGCTTTAATATTGCGCAACGATTTACGTCATACGCCCTCGTGAAATGAATATTGATTCGAAGCTTTATACGGAACATGGAGTACGAATAAGGGCGATATTGCAATTTGTTCAATTAGAAAATGAATCTTTGTAAGAAAATTAAAAACATATTTTTCAAATATTTGCTTTGCTTGTACAGAAATAAGAACTTTTTAACTTTGAGACAAATATAAAAAATATATATATTTGACTACAAAATGTAATAAACAAGAATAAATAACTGAATTTTACTAATAAAACATAATTTACAAAAACAAAATTTTTCAAAATTTATTTAACTGACGGTTATATAGATGAAATCTTCGGGTCAAAATACCCGAGTTTATAAAACAGATCTATTGTTGGTCAACGACGTGTCTGAATCCGCAGACTAATCTTACTTTTTAATAGTTTTATTTTGGTTGTCCACGGTTTATCCCACATAATCTTCTATTTACTAAACGTCCAGTTTACAGATGTGCTTTTTCGAGCTGTTTCAAATAACTTTTAATGGAATCAAGTAAAAATAACCGTTATTATTATATAATCTTTCAAATATATGACATTTATATATCAAGCAAATATTGCAATTTCTAACAAAAAAGTACGTTGTCTTACTTGACAACTTTTTTTCAATTTGTTCAATGAAAATTAACTTGCTTCATGTCCATATCCTGCATAGGTTGTCACAAATATTTTGAGAATCTTGTTTCAACAATTACTAATGATTTCAAACAGTTTATGTAAGATTCTAAGATATTTTTTATTACAATTATGTAAACTCGTTGTTAAAAAAAACTCTAGTCACATTGGGAAAAAAGGAAACGAAAGATTTCCAGATGATATTTTCCTGTCTGGTTCAAATCAAGCAGCAGTCAGGATTTTACGAAATCCCGTTTATTTTCTTTAATAATAATGACGATATTTTTGGCAACCATTGATCGATGCCCGATTCCGTTTCACCTACTTTTTGATCTTGTAATATACAATGAAATAAAATGAAGAAGAAAACCTTACCAAAGATCAGAATATAACAGAATGTGACCTGCTTTCAAAGCTCTCCGTAAATACTACTAACTTATTTATTTACTAATCGAATGTTATCGGTTACTCTGAAATAGGGGAATCCCCCAAAATAGTAATCAACGCTACATAGTATTAAGGTCCCGTATGTAACGATTGGCGCTGTCGAGGTTGTTCAAGGTTGGGTGGAGTTAAATGTGGGGTGACTGGTTGTGCCTTGTCGGAGAAGTTGAGTGTGTTTTCTTTGGTATGAAATACGACCCTGGGCACCGTGAAATATCAAAAGTATAACACACATCTAAACAAACCCGCGCTAAAATTACACAGTGACTCACTCAGTCTAAAATCGTTCCCTATAGACTATGACTTAAGTGTACGCATTGGACTGGATTAAAGTGACCGCGCGACGCGTTAAAAACTAATCACAAAACGCACATCATCCGATGTACGACTTTTCCCATGTTTTTTTTAGTAGAGAACGGATGATCTGAAGGAAGAGAGAGAGAGAGCCTGGATCTAGGATTCGGAACTAAATTTAATGCCCCGATACCCTTAATCCTTCTTTATTTTAGGTGAGATCACAAGTATATATACACTCGCCCAAGCCAAGAACCGTAACAGACTCATAGTCTCGTCCTAAATAAAAACAAGTAAATAAACTCGAGAGGAAACAAAAAATAAACGAAGATGAGAAAAGAACGCACTTGGCACAATTCGAACTACACACACACACACATTTTTTCTCTCCCTCATTAAATTTCCCAATTTGCCTCTTTCCATCCATCCACGTGTTGTGTTAATTTCAAGGGTGTTACCTGCTCGACATGTTACAACTGTTTTTTTTTTCATTTCTCGTACGTTTCGAAATTTATTTCTACTTCCTTTATTTTCGTAAATCGCTCGGTAAATGGGTCCTTTTGGAGGCGGCGGTGCGTGTGTGCTTTAGAGCTGACTCATGTCTTCGAGCCAATGCCCTGGACCCAAAAATAAATACATATTTAAATGCGAAATTAAAGTGCATCCTATTATGGCCTAAAAATAGGTAGCTGCTATATCCGCAAATACGAACCGGAAATAACTAGGTTTTTACTAGGACACCTCCAAATCGATATTGTCCCAATTTCAGACCAGGATTTTCAAACTGATTTAGCTTTACGACGAAGCAAATTAGACGTGTTTCTATGGCAATATATACAAATATCCGAGTTACACTTGCCAACCATTAATACAAGTACTTGTTAACCATTACATAACGTATTGCGAAACAGGCCAAATTACATCATTGTAGAATCTAAACAAAACTCGGACAAGTATTAACGTACATATAAACATAAAAACTATAATAGTTATAACAGAAATACATTTACAAATAATCCAAAGACATGGATTTATTTTCTACAACCTCAATGTTCCTATTAAAAGCGTTCATATAAATACAGAAGTCTATTTTTGGTTTTAAAGCAGTTTTAAAATGTATATTTTTTCATTAACGCGGGGTGCGTTTAAATATAGTAAATTATTCATACAATGTCTCTAAAATTAATTCGCCTTGAAACTTTTTCGTGCATCTCAGAATGCAGAAACACACCAAAACATGTTTTTGTTTTCGACCTAAATTGGTAATTTCCATTTTTCCTTACGACCGTAACAAAAGTTGTTAAACATTTCGTAAATTTGCTAATTATAAGTTTTATATCCGCAAGGAATATTTATTATTAGATATCTATATTAGAAAACGATTTTTTTTAATGTTTTCAACTTATTTAATACTTAAATTAAAGATTTTAAGTATTTTCATGATATTTTATAACTTATTCCTAACTTCAATTTAAGATCAAGTCAAAATGGTAAAACTGGTATAAACATGAACAATTTTATATCAAAAAGCTAAAAATAATTTTATATATGAAGTTTCTTCTACTCTTAATAAATTTGATGAAACATATAAACAGAATGTAAAACGTACTTATTACCAAATTAAATGTATTTATGTAATAAATAAAACAGTAAATTTCACTACGGAAATTTATTGTTAGTATAGGGATGAAAAAAAAGATATGAACAATTATCTTCTATATAATAAAAAACTCTAAATTTATATATAGTTCATGTATTTGAAATGAAAGTTTTCAGAAGGAAATGATGTTTTGGAATATTTTGGTCCATTTCTATTTATTCGTGCGCGTTGCTATTTGCTTGAAGCTGACGAAACCGCAAGTGTTTGCAAAGGATAAAAAAAAAATGTCGAAACTGGTAGTCATCAAATCGTCAGAACTCTAATTTTAAATTCGCAGAACAAAAAAAAATAATAATAAACCATGAAATTAGTAAAGGAAGAAAGAAAAATAAATCAACTTCATAATAGTTTTTTTCATCTTGTCGTTCCGAAAACGATGTGAAAATTGATGACTGAAGTTATTGACTCCCTGAAAAATTAGTTTGTTGTGGGTAATTATAAGAATGAATTGGTCTACGTGTTTCCCATGTCGAGTTTTTGCATTGGTCAAAGCGAACGTCACATTTATCCTCAAACTAGTTACACTTGTGCTCCTGCTTTCATAAATAACTCATTTTAAGCCTAATTGACATTTCAAACTACATTTCATTGACAATATTTTTACTACTGACTTCGAGTAAATACACCATTGACATATAAATAACTTCAGAAATACATCTTCAAGGACTTCCGGCTATTCTGTTCAAAAGTAAATTCGTATAATATACAATTCATGGAAGTGTAATAAGTTTGTCCAAACTGCAGTTTATGAAAAAACAAATAAAAAGGCTTAATTATCATATATGTAATAAGATGATCGTTTCGTGATTGCCTTTATGTAATATGTAGATACATATATGTTCTATGGAATTTGTTTGTTATATAACTGTAGAAAATAAAATAAATAACACTTACTATTTATAGGTACCATTTTATCAAATCCAGCCATGGTTTGGAGCTTCATATCTTCATGACTAAACTTTCCCACTTGCCAATGATTCTGCTTTTGCAATAGTAATAACAATCTTATAAATATAATATTAAGAGATGAATAAAAGTAAACTTACGTGTTCCATGTCTAAAGTGAGTGGCTTTGTCATATCTTGTGTAGGTTGAGGCAGCGTTTTAATAACCATACTAGATTCTCCGTTTGTTGGAAACATATCTTGATCATATTCATCATCATATAAATCGTCGTCTTCATCCTCATCACATTCAGATGAATTCGTTGTGACCGGTTCGTTGGCGTTAGGAAATACCGATACAAGTTTACCCATTAACTCAACAATCTAAAAACCATATTATAACTAAGTACAAATTTTCGAAATTGCTACCTCTTTCATAGTAGGCCTTTTACTAGGTTCTCCATCCCAGCACTTGAGCATGAAACTTTCGATGATCTGAGGGCAACCCTCTATCAGCTTAGGCCTCGATCCCTTATGTACAGCCCACATAATTTGAAAGGCGTTATCTTCGTTACTAAACGGTTTCTCTCGCGACAAAACCTCCCATAAAATAATGCCCCAACTGTAAACATCACATTTTTCAGTGTAATTAGATGTTGCAAACACTTCAGGCGCCATCCAAGCTGCTGAACCTTTGTTATTTGTCATATTAGTGCTTTTGTCAGCTGCAGTACCGAAATCGCAAATTTTCAGATGCCTTCCCTCATCAATCAGCAGCAGATTAGGCGATTTCAAATCCCTATGTATCAAAGGTTTAGGCTTCATTGAATGTAAATAATCCACGCCCTGAAATTTCTCATTACTATCAAATACTTTCAGCAATTACTTAGAACATACTTTAGCACATTGGTAGACCCAGGACAAGGCATGTCCAAATTCATAATCTATGTTCTTTTTCTTGTGCAGTACTTTGAAGAGTGAGCCACCTTCTGCATATTCCATGACTAGACAGATGTTGGGATCTTTTGTGCAAGCCCCATATAAGGTGATAATGTTTTCATGACTGACTCGAGACAACTGCCTTAACTCCACAAAGAAAGCTTTCTTCTCCTCTTTCGTTGATATATGCTTGACTGCAACATTAAGACCTTTCCAGTTTCCCTGGTAAACCTTTCCAAAACTGCCCTCATCTAAATACTAAATAAACAAAGAGATCAGTTTATACATATAACATTCTATCTATATATCACAATTGCCTCACCGCATACTGTTTAATCTCATCATAGTCAATCTCATTAAAAGTGCTATTCAGTTCATTGTCATTCTCCATTTTATACACACTATATCATTTCTTCACATACTTGCAAGAATTTGTTATAAAATCAGGAAAAATAAAAAAGAATTTGATCACAGCCTTTCAGGTTAGGTTCCTGTCATCTACTAAATTCAATCAGAACTAAAATAGTTGCAATATTTACAATACTTTTAGTAAGAAAATGTGAAAATATTATTTCCAATACACAATTTACATTTTAAATTGAAATTTATTAATCACAAACATTTATCTCAATTACTATAATTTACAATTCCTATTAATTTATCATTATTTCATACTCAAAGTTATATAGGAACGTTATTTTATATTGAAATTTTAATAAATAATTAATAGAAAATTTAAATTATTATATAAAAATATTATAGTAATTTGAAACTAACAATAACACACAATTTATGGTAGTTCAAATTACTCATTTTTCATATTGAAATTAATTTTAATTACATAATTCATCTTTAAATCTAACATTACTAGTTATTTTTATATTTATTATATATAATACAATTAATAACAATATAATTTAGTAAGAATTATACTTAAATTAATTAAGGTAGAATAAGTTGCCTAACATAACTTCAAACTTTGATTACTGCTAATTCCCGCCTTTAAGATTTAAACTATTGTTCTATAGTCTTTCCGATAATTCAAACTAATTTCACGATTATTTCTTAAAATGAGAACGAAATGAATTTAACATATTTAAAGTTAGTAATTGTCTTAAAGTTGCATTAAAAATAACTACAAATTTTATTTTGTTGTAGATAACTTCAAATTAACTCCAGAAACTATTGTATTTGATTAGAAAATCAGAGACACATAGAGTTTTTACGTGTATAGAAATTAAAAATATTTTATTTACTTGTAAACTATTATGAAATACAATCTTAAACGTAGTTGATGTGACTCTTCCTGCGAGTAACTGAAAGTAGAGTAGATGAGATCAAAATAAATAAAAATAATATCTTAAATAAATACGTTTAGTCCTTTTATCTTTCAAAGAGAAGAAGTTCTTAGATAGATGTCCTTCAGGTAACTCAGTCAGTTTTTCCAAATACTTGGAAGCATGCATGTGTCCATGCCTCAGTGCTATATCTAAAGGTATAGCACCAAATCCGTCCTTCACAGAAACGCAGTCGCATTCTATCAACAGATCAATGATTTCAACGTCTCCTTTCAGCGCAGCGTAATGCAAAGCGTTTCGTCCTGCTAAATCCACAACATTTGGATCGGCTCCGAACTCGCATAGCATAACTATGAAAGGGACGCTATACAAAACTGAATAACTGTTCAAAATCAGCTCGAATAACAATGGAATACTGCACGGTCTTTCTAGATTCGGGTCAGCATGATTATCTAGCAAATATTTGCAGACATATTGATTTCTACTGTCCAAAACCGACAATGATAATGGTGTATGGGAGAACGTATCGATGGCATTCACGTTAGCGTGGTATTGTATCAGAAGTTTGATTATTGAGATGTTGCTAGTTTGGACGGCGAAGTGCAAGCAAGTTGCAAGATTTCTAGTTTAAAAATAAATATCAATATTTTCTATACCATCTTCAAAATAAAGTTTTACAGAAGTCGTTCGAATGGGTATCTTTGTTCAGTTGATTATACTTCTATGATCATCTTTCATAGGAATCTGGTTTAATTGACAACCAAGGTACAACGACTAAAGTAAAAGCTGACTTAAAATTTCTACCTATTTCCTTCATTAACATCTGCTCCAGCCTCTAGTAAAGTTTTAACGACTGTCAATCGTTCGTGACGCGTGGCACAATGCAACGGCGTGAATCCAAAATCTAATGTTTTGATGTTTAAGTTGATGTTCTTTCCTTTCAGAATTATGTTCACTAAGCGATTGTCTCCGTTTGTAGCTGCGGCATGTAGGACTGTAATATGTGCAGCATTGTAGCTGTTGACATCGATATCTTTGTCGATGCATTTTTGCACCCTGTAGTAATCCGCCCGATCTACTGCATTGAAAAACTCATTCATCAACGTCGATTGGGCTTAAAATAATTATAATTATTTTAGTTTTGTAGTAATTATTCTATCTTACAACTCATTTTGGATATGACACAATGAAATTATCGACAATTCTACTATAATAACTTCTAATACCATAGTAATTTTATCAACAGTTCAAAGTAACAAAAAAGTTAATGACAAAATCAATAGGTCTGTAATTTTATCATGATTACTTCAATTTTTTTTGTCTCATAAAATAAAAATACTTTTACTTCATACTTTCAAAGTTTTCTTAATGATCATAATTAAAAATCTTGTAGTTGGAACAGGTTTAAGTAACAGAAGAAAATATGCGTTATGCTTTTATTCGTTATTTTACACACTTATTAACATATGTTTTTATATATATATATATTTATATCGTAAATACTATACTGACTGATATAATAATTTTCTTTTTTTTTCTTCATTAAATATATAGTGTACATTTCATATAATATGTTAACAATAAAATTATTTTATATCGTTTCTGACTTCAAAAAATATACATCGATTTGACACATTCATAGATACGTTAGATAGATTATATAGGTATGGGATATGTGGGAATTACAAGACGTAGCGTTGGTAGAGAGGAACGTTCTGCTCCTGTTGTGCGGCACCTAGAAGCTCGGAAAGAGTGTAGTAGTTATTGCGAGTGGGACCATTCAAGAAGCGAATCTCCCTAGTGGGATCGTTGCTCTTCTTGGCCACCATGAAACGCTTCTTCTTATCGGGATATTCACCCCACATTCTGCGCTTCTCGTACACCTGCGGCTTGGAGTCGTAATAGTAGTTGGGATTCATCGGTGACAAATGCTCAGAAATATGCGGATAAACGGGAGAATCCAACCAATCCTCATCGTTCTGTTCGATTTCAGGTTCATTCTTGTCACCGGAAATCGAATCCATGTCGAAGTTGTCGAAACGTTGCCAGGAAGGATGGAAATTAGCCGGAGGACCGTGCTGACGCTCGTTCTCCCACAAAGTTAGAATTGCCAGAATGTCCTCGGGGCTCAGATCCACTTCACGCTTGTACCGATTATCCATCCTGGAATACCATACAGTTTGATGAGTTAATATAAAGGATAAGATAACATCGGCAATATACCAAATAAATAGAACATGAAATTTTGATGAGTTTTTTAAGCACACCATTTCGAGCTTCGTTATTACATAAATCGATAGATAAGCTTCGTGATAACAAATGTTTGCTGGGTGCAAATGTTTGTTTTGGCAGTTTGCCATTATAATCCATTACCGAATCTGTCCGAAAACATCTGTACCAACACACTCGTTTTCATTGATAATTGAAACTTAATGAGTTCATTATCAACTTATAATAATAAATTAACATACTAGTTTTTATTAGTATAACACTCTAATTCAAGGAATAACTAGTGCTAAAAGTTAACATTATGTAACTTTAATTTTGTCAAATCCTAGTAAATTTTACTTAACTATTACTATTTATTATTATACTATTATTGATTATTGTATATTTGGTTTATGAAAGTATTTACTAAATATACACTAAAAGTTTTCAGCAATTGCTTTATGTTTACAAAACAATAACAGAGATACTACTTAATACGGATAATATCAGTTAAATTAACTGTTTAATTCAGTCTTTAGATAATTCGCAAAGTTAAACATTTAAGTACTAAATCAACTAAGGGACTTTGACTATTGCATTAACCATAATCCGGGTTAAGTTGATTAAATCTCCGCGAGTTGCTTAATACGGTGTTAAAAGCGCCTTTCGCAACATACATTTCATTACGCTTCCACTCGGATCAAATGAGTGTTTCTTTTTATATCTTTCCATCATCTTCATGAATATGGAAATCAGAAAATTTAATAATGCAGTTGAGAGGATCCCGGCTGTAATTTGATTGAGTCTGAATTACAGAGCTCTGAGCTTTCCGATTCGGATTTGGGTCAAAAGGAATTGGATCTGTAGAGGTAGCCTGACATTTGAGTGAGTATGATCAGCGTGCAAATAAATATATATATTTCGAATGAAACGGAAGCCGTTTACATCAAGAGCAATATCCGAGTTGTATATTGGTTTATTGGGGGATGTATTAGCGATTTCATTTATTGGATTGTCTGCCTCCGCGGGGATCTCTAATGGAAGCGGTAAAAACATTGGGGAGCCAATCGCAATTAGGGTTGCGTTAATTTTATCAAGCTGTTAAGTAACAAGAAGGAAGATTATTGATTGGAGCGAGTGGTAAACAAAAAGTTAATTTAAAAAATGTTTCCAATTAGATTTCGGTTGGAAGAGTTTGATGATGAAACGTTGATGTTGTTGTTGCGACCGCTTTTTCATTTTCTTTTCGCATTTTTATTTAATTAAATTCAAAAGCAATTATCGGACGATGGGGGAAAAGTTCGTTAATTGGAGTAGACTCCAATTCCTATAATTGCTCAAACCGCCGCCGTTGTCGTTGTTAGATCGACCCCGGGGAGAGGATTATGGGATTGAGATCGAGATCCTTTGATCAGGATCTGCTCTCTCGTCCTGCGAGGAAATTAGTGAATTAAAGGCGGCGGCCGTTGAATACTTGTTGCCACCGGCGGCGGCCGGGAGCCTTGATGTAACAGGTAATATTGATTTCCGCGCCGCCCCCAGATAATGTACCTTGTCTGAGCCGGAATTAGGGCATAGCCAGCAAGAACCTGTTACGCCGTTTCTGCACGTAGACAAAAGCCACGTCTATCCTCAATGTACAAATGCAGAAATTGTGATGTCATTGTTTCAACTATAATGGGTTTTATATATTTACCTGGTTTTCTGGGCATTTCGACGCTTCCGCTTCTTGTCGCCTTCCATTCCGTAATAACGATATTGATTGACGGCCGCAGGTTCGCCGTACAATTCGGATTTCAGGATGGCATTCTCTAAGGCCTCATCCAATTTATCCTTGTTGACTCCGTAGCGAAAGCCCTTTTCGTATTCGGCGACGGTCTTGTCGTTTCCCAATTCATCTTCGGAGGTGTACAGAGGTGAAGCGGCGAAAGGTTCTTCCTCGGATGGGAATCGGAATCGTTGCTGATCCCATTCGGTCAACAGAGGAAGCTGTCCGTTCTTAAGATTCAAGCCTAAGAATGCAATCGGAAGATTGTAATTAACTGTTTTAGAATGCGAGTTGGCATTCATATTACCGCGCTTAACAGCTGTTGGACGAGATTCTCCATGGCTTTCAGCGTTGACTGGAGCACGTTTTACTGTGAATTATTAATAAATTTACAAACTGATACATATGTATGTACTGAAAATACATGTTTTGGGGCGGAAAACTATGGAAACTATACAGTTAATTGCTATTATATACATAAAACAACTACATGGAAATTATTACCAAATTTAGATACATAATATGTAATAAAACTGAAGTATCTCTGAAAAAAATGTAGTAATTTTGTTCTTGAATAGATTAGCAAAACTAGAAACATGTAAATTGATAATTATTGCTTATTATTTAATTGCTTAATTAAACTAAATTTGAATAAATATAAAATTCAGGACAGAAAGACTTATGGTCAATAGCCCTTTGCAGCAGTTGATTTTTTATATTAATTAGATAATTGTATTCAGAAACTTCTGAACATTTTACTGAAAACAGTTTAAAATATTTTCATTGAGTTGAATCTATTTTCCCTATTTAAGATAAATTAATTATAATCAATATGGAAATTCATGAAAATCATTTAATTTTTTAAAAATATAATAAAAAAATTGATCAATTAAATTAATGTTGATTAATGGATGTTTTTTCTTATTAAACCTTTAAATGAATATATAAATATTTCCAGGGTTTAATTCGGTCTCACCCAAAATTTTCAGTGTTGCGCAGAGTGAGTCTCGTAATGACTTTTTGGCATCAATTGTTTCTGCGCATTGTTTTCGCAATTAATTTCAATTTTCCTATTAAAACTTTGTTAAATATTACAATGAGTTTTAAACTGTAATTAAAGAACTTTATATTTAGTTACTTTAAAGCTTAAGTTAAGTCAGTTTTATACACAAATATTACATATTTGAAATTAAATTCAAGACATTTTTAAAACAAATTCAAACAAATAAGGATAAAATTTTAAAAGAAATCTTACCTTTGCTGTTCTTAATATCAGAAGACTTGACATCTTCGACGACGGAAGCAGGCAAAGCAAGTGCAAGTGCTGCAAAGTATAGGAGGAAAGGTAAAGCTCGCAGAGTGTGCTTCATGGCTGGTGAATTCTGGACGACTGATGAAAATCCTGAGCCTGAATCGAGGTAGTCCTGGCAGCGGCGCAGCGATACGTCCTATCGCCCACGCTTTTGCCACCCCCCAGGTCGGGGGCGGTAGATACGCAACGAATATTCAGGCGCAATAAATTCTATCATAAAGGTGCGATACTGCAGATAAAAGTTGTAATTTTTATGGAAATCGTGTAAACGTATCCTTTGGGAAATATTTTACTAAATATTGAGCTCGAACAAAGATGTAGAAATTCTGGTAAAACGATATTTGGAGCTTTCAACCTGGTCAGGCGTCTTTTTTTCCTATCCTCTCTCTCTCTCTATCTGCTACGCCTCCCACACCCCAGTTCCTTCAGTCGCATCTACCCACACTGAATATTGATTTGATGTTCAAATTTTAATTTTACACACTATATATTATGCATAGAGTTTATTCAACATCAAAAAATCGGAGATTCGTTTAATCCCTTTTCAAAATATATTTACTTAAACGATAAATTAATTCCACAATATCAAATATTTAACATTAATTACAGGGCTTCAAGTGATTTTAATCAATTACATTCTAAGATAAACACTAAAAGATAGATTTCTAAAAGATAGATTTTAGAGATCCATTAAGTTTTACAATTTTTATACTAGCTTTTTAGTAATTATGTTCACACGTATTGCCATGTAATGCAATATACTTGGTGTTGTGTTTTGATTAGCTATTGTCATCGCATGTTTCAGGAAAGGTAAATGGATAATGGACCATGTAGTAACACTAGATAATATTGTATACAAACCGTTCGTGTTTAAGGGCCGTAACCTATGTCAGTGTTTGCTAAATTACTCAGACCCATCATTGATTTAATTATAATGAACGACAGACCCTTGCATGAATGTTATTGTTCTATGGAATTATATCATCTAAATAAGCGGTGTTCCGCAGAGTAATTTGAAAAAAATTGTCTTTATTATATTCTGATTTTACTTTTTTTTTTAAATTTCGACTGCTGATCAAATTTATTATACCTCGGTTAAAAAACACCGCGCATAAGGAGCATTTCGGTTATCGAGTAAAATGAATTGTAAGAAAAATAACTCGCTTAACGAGCGACATTTTGTATAACGAGTGACGATGAGAAATCCCGGATTGCGTACATATTATGTACGAGTCTACACATATTATGTGTATTTTTAATATGTTTCATTATACGAATAAAAATCCGGAAATTTTGGAACGGATTAAACTCGCTAAGCGAAGTTCCACTGTATATGGTGTATTTGTATATAAAAAAAAGACATTGATTTTTGTTTTAACTTGCAATTATTTAATTTGTTCTATAAACTAAGAAAAAAACTACATTTCCTAATTTCAAGATAATTTATAATTCCTTGTTTTAAATTTCTAATCTTTAAAAGCTATTTAAATTGAAATATTAAAAAAGATTATTTAATGAAGTGAAAATGCAAAACACAATTAATTCCCAATGATTTGATGCTCAAAAGATGCGAGAAAAATAAAGAAAAACATTATTTGATGACACAAATGCTCAACGGCTTCTGAAAATATGATAATAACTGTTTGGCGAGAGAAGGTCGAAGGGAGTTTTATTTGCGTCTCATGAATATTCCACCCCGCATGTATACCATTAAAAATGAACATCACTTCCACGTTGTAATTTTTTTAAATTGTATATTTGAATATCATTTGTCGTCATAAGATAAATTAATTACAAAACACAGAAATCTGAATATTTACAACTAAATATGAACAGAATTTAATCACTACTGCTGCTTGAACTGCGCCTCTTCTTCCTTTTTTTCTTCTTTTTCTTGGTCTTCTCGTCGTCTGAACTATCCGAATCGGAGTCCGAAGAGTACGTTTTTTTCTTGCTTTTCTTCTTCTTTTTCTTACTCTTCTTCGACTTCTTTTTCTTCTTCTCTTCTTCGCTTGAAGAGCTACTACTTTCGCTGCTTGAAACAGACTTCTTTTTCGACTTTTTCTTCTTGTCGTTAACATTGTCATCACTGAATTCTTCATTTTTCTTACGTTTCTTTTCCACGTCTACTTCATTGCGTTTATAAGGCACCTCATTTTCAGGCTTCTTTCCATTACGTCTATAATTGCTGGTATCATCTCTAACATTTCTGTTATTACTATTATGCCTTCTATCGTTTGATCTGGATCTTCCACGTCTATTAGTGGAATGTGAATTGAAATGCGATCGATCATTGGACCTGTCACGTCTATTATACTTATCGCGACCCCTATCGTTTGACCTGGATCTCTGTCGACGATTCGGACTATTGTTTCTATTTGATCGTTGCCAGGACATATCCTGTCTACCCCTAAAATTAGAATTAAATCTTCGGTTTCTATTGTCATTGGACCAATCCCGCCTATCCCTAGATTGTGGTCCATTTCTATTCCTATTGAAATTGTCGTTTGATCTAGACCTATTATTCCTCTCTCTCGGATTAGGGCTGTATTTCCTATTGCGCTTCTCGACAGACCTTGATCTATCTCTGGAAGGACTACGTTTCTTAGGCCTCCTATCCCCATTGTTTTTATTATTTTCAGCACCCTCTTCTTTTATTTTTCTGCCTTTGTCGTCAAATCTTGTAACGCCTCTGCCCTTGCCGTTCCACTTAATTTTCGATACAGACTGACTGAAATCCACGTGAATTCTGCGATCATCAATCAGTACATTGTCCATTTTGAAATACGCATCCTCGCAGGACTTTTGCTCCGCAAACTCAACGAAAGCGTACTGCAACGAATCTCCAGATTTCCTATCCCTGATTACTTCGCATGTATTGATCTTTCCAAATCGGCTGAAGATGATTTCTAGATCGTCGTCTGAAGTGACAGGATTCAATTTGCATACAAAAAGGACATTTTCGGGTGGGGCCATCTCTGCATCCGGCAGATCGCCAACCATTTCAAGAATTGTAGCCCTAGCTTTAGCCTCTCTCTCCGCGAGGATTTCGTGGATCTCCGCTGCGCTTTTGCCATCCGTGTCATCGATATCTTCATCGGCAGCAATTCTACCGCCTTGAAGCCTTTCCGCACTAGGTGATGGCGACCTTGAAGGTACGCACATTTTCTTCAAATCACTGAAGGGATCCTCTAAAATAACAGTATGAGTAATTCTAACATCCTTATATGGTCTGTTATTATTATCACATATGGTTTCATTTAGCAACTCCAGAACATCAAGGCCCTCCATAACTTCCCCGAACACACAATGTTTTCCATCCAAGTAGGTTAAATCTGAGCCTAATGTAATGAAAAACTGAGACCCTATCATTCCCTCTTCATTGCCAACAAATGATAGTAGTCCCATGTGGGTATGCTTTATCCTTGGTGTGGTCTCACTTTTAAAATACTTTTTCATGGGTCCCTCCAATACTCCATATATACTTTCCCCATTCCTTCCGGATCCTGTTGGATCCCCTGTCTGTCCAATGAAACCTCGACTTATGGTGTGAAACAGATTATAATTATAGTACTTCATCTTGCATAGCTTCAGGAAGTTGAGACAGGCCTGTGGACGTTCATTCAACATCAAATCCACAGTGATGTCCCCTAAGGTTGTTTCTATTACAACAGCCATATTGCTGAGTCTAGAAATACAAATAAAATTATTATAATCAATAAGCTACATTTAAATATATAACTTTCTTACCAGTAAAAACTATTATATCAGATTACGCTGAAAACAAATCACAACATTGTTAACGTTAAATTGCATTTGCTTCGTTAAAGTTAGGTTAGAATAACCAAAACTAAACATTAATATAATGCCAAAGCTGCGCCATCTATTAGAAGGTTTATCAAAAATATTTATTATATAATATTCTCCACAACTACATTTTATAATTATTGTATAATAACATTATGAATAAGTTTTAAACAAAAGTTAATAGAAAATATAGCATAATAAAGCATAAATTCCTAACTTTAGCCAAGTGACAAACCAGAGAATCAGTATGAATCATTCTAGTTCACTGTTATGTAATGCTAGTCATTTTAGAGACCTCTGTTGTGTTAAATTGCGAACTAGTACTAAACTAATAAATATTTATTTTTAAAATCGTTTATATTTTCGTATATTATTATAGTTTTAAATTAGAAGAAAGTAGTAATGTGTAAATAATTAATTTGAAACAATGAAATTACATAATTTGTTACATATATTTAATAATCTCTAAAACTCTTTGTTTCTCAATTTTTCAGACATGAATATATTTTTTTTGTATTTTCTATAAAATCTGTAGTTTACTTTAAATTAGAAAATTGACAATTTTTCTATAAATTACACTTCAGTAAGGGAAGGATAGATGTCAGCAACGGAAGGATGCGATGTAAAATAGAAATGCGAAGGGTTGGAGGGCGCAGCCAGAGATTAAAAGATGATTAAAAGCCTGTTTCCACGGTTGGAAGCGGCAGGATGTATGGCTGGGATTATTATTGATGCATTCAATTAATAAATTCAATTGATTTTTATTATTTGTAAATATTTTAGTAGCGTTCATATGAAACTAATGGGATGATTGGGGGGAGGTAAATTAAAGCGAATCGCAGGTTTCAGGCAAATCGCATTTGCAAATTTGAATGGGACGCAGACGAGTCGAGACGAAAAGGGAGCGATGGAATTTAGTATGATTGTAAAGTAAGAAGGGTGTGCGTGAAACGAGACCGAGGTCGAAATAAGAATGGATATCAATTTGTCCGAGTCGATAAGTTGAATTGGTCCTAATTCAATCCTGAAGGACCAGAGCGAGCATCACCAAACAATGGGAACAAGCGGATAGTCGCATCTGGATGTCCTGTCTCGGACTATCCCCATGGGTAACAGGATCTGTTCACTTAGAACACTACGCCGACGGAATTGTCCTTTTGAAAATTTAACAGCAATCCCCGGACTCACTCTCCTCTTATTACCTTCTTCGGCTTCTTTCCTTTTTTTATCCTTCCACCCTCTAACTCCTTGCGCGTAGTCCGTTTTTTTACTACCATCCCCAAAAACACGACAGGAATATAAAGATTATTAGCTAGATTTCAAACAGCTCGAAGGGAAACGAAGCGCAGGAAATTACTTAAGTCCCCTAATGCAAAAACCATAGAAGAAAAGCAAACCATTAAATATTCAAACCCCAATGGCTTTATACTGTTTTTTTTTTGCATGCAACGCGCATATTTTTTTTTTCTCGTCCTTTTAAACATATTCAAATATCATTTCCGGCTTCTCTTCTCTTCATATATATATATTTTTTCTCTGCCTTTTCCGAAAAAGAATATTATATGAGCAATATTTTACAAGGAAAAGCCTGTCTTCTCTTTATTTTCTCCGTTTCCACTTCCCCATCCATATCAAAAAGAAACCACCTTATCTCCCCTAGAACATTAAATAAAATATCGCGCATAATAAGCTACACGCTATTTGCGTTTCTTTGAAAGTGAAAATCTTATGAAATGCACAACAAATAGAAAAACAGTTTCTTCTTCATCATTTTAAATTGGAATAGACTATATAATAAGAATACTGTATTTAAAAAAGTTCATTAAAATTATATAGAATACAAATAGTTTTGTATATCAAAAGTTCATCGACAAAGTTTTTGAATTTAAAGAAAAGTTAAACTAAACCAAAAAAATAAACCTATTATTTTATAATCATTAGTATTATTTATTACTTAGGTACTCCTCGCTTCTCGAACATAAAACAAATAGGAATCACTTTACAATCGGTAGACTATGATAAATTCGGTTTTTGAACTTTCCTATTCTGAAATGTTAAATAACTAATGTAACTTTTTTTAGTAATGTAGATGCATTAATAAAAAAAATCACTTTTCAGTTAACTGAAAAATCTTGTTAAAAAATATAAAATTAATCTAATCTTTAATATTGTTATCCAAGAAAACAACAATTCTGTTTAAGGCGTTTTATAATTATCAATTTTTCGTCATTTCATTTTTGTCTACTTTTTGTTTTTTTTATGAATATTGGAATAAATGTAATTATAAGTATTTTGTTTCATTAGAACGAACTTTATTTCTATTGATAAATAAAATTGTTGACTTTTTGAATGTGGATTGAGGTAAAAATGAAATTAGGTTGAGGCGTATTTTGAAATTGAAACTGAATACTGTGATAAATTGATTTGTAATCTTGAATATATGCGAGTGCGAAAGTGGCGGAGTGTAAAAGGACGTTAATAGATTTTAGGCAGGCAAATTATAATTCCCGTGTTCGAGTTGCCAGTAGTTGGCATCCCCCCAAAGAAGAACTTTTCAAAACTTAATTTGCCTTCAAAGTCAGCTGTAGAGAGACACCTCCAAGTGTCACCCCCAATTACGAACAATTAACCAAGTTAGTTGCAGAGTCTCTGCGGGAGGCGACGAAGACGATATTGGATGGATGTGTAAGTAGATGTACGTACGTGTGGATGATTGTAGAGTGTGAGTGTGTATGGCTCTTTGCCATACCGCGTTTAATATTATATTTCAAATCGTTTTGGCTTTCGTTGAAATTAGATGGGTTTTGAATCGATGGAATTAGATTTTCGCGTGGGAAATTGTGTAAGTGAAGAGCCGTTACGTGCGAGTGTAATAGGAGTTGTAGTATGCGGAAGAGCGTCCCATGCAAAGTGGATATCCCACGGGAACCTGACGACCTGTACGTATGTATGTATGTGCGAGGGAGCAACTGTGCTGCATTCTAATCAGAGAGGACATGCGAAAATACCTCGTAACCTATCACTACATGAAAGAGACCGCCATCAATGATTCACGCAGGGCCTTCCCTTTTTCTCGCTCGCTCCTCCTTGGCCGTACGACGCGTCGCCTGAGGGCATTCCCATGCAAAGGACATCATCACACCGAGGATAATCCATTTTAACTTTTCATCGCCTGCTGCCCCTACGTCCATTTGAAATTCGGAAAGAGGAGAGAAGGTTTTATGAATCCTGTTTAAGGAATTCTCTGTGCGTGGGAATCGCTGCACAAAATCGTTAAATTTTAACTGGAGTGTCGAAGTAGAAGAAGAAGCAGCAGCAGAAGCTCGCGACATCTTGATCCATCCTGGCGTGAAACATCATTAAATCTCGGGCTAATGACGGCCTTTCCTTTTTCCCCTTAGTCCTTCTCCTCCCCGCTCACCCCCTTTTGGTTCGAGCGCAAGCTAAGACCGACGTCGAACGGGACAAGCTTTTTAATGAGCGCCAATCCTGCAGGAGCTTTAAAGCCCCGGGGCACGTCTTAACTCGCAACTTAACGCCGATGCTCTGCCGCCTCCTCCTATGCCGCCGCCGAGCTTGTCGAGTTAACGAGTACACCATTTTTTTCTCCGCTGCCTTCTCTCACTCATCCCTCCGGGGACATTCTTTTCGGCTTCTTCGCTCTCCTACCCAAATCAAGGGATTTAGATGAATTAACGCTGCTAGAATTGGAAATTCAATTTTACCCACTTCCAATCCCGTAGCGCTTAATTGAGTAAATATTACATCTTTGATGTACCCACCCGGCGCATCCACCAGAAATAATAACATTCGTTTGCTCATACCAATTACTACATTCAATAATCAATTCTAAAATTATAATTTCTTTTATTTCATCTTCATATAAAGCAATGCCTTATATAGTGCGGTTTTGATCAGTCCGGAATCTAATACTGAAAACAGTACATTAATTTAAAACACAATATTGTTAACTTTTTATGGAGACAGAAATTCCTAAATTTCTAGATCGAACAAACTTTTAGACAACTGAATCAGACAACTTCGACATTTAAACAACATCGGATGTTATGGATTATAAAAATTCATCCCTTAACATACCAACCAAATTAAAGGGTAATTTCTAGAAAATTATAATACGTGTAGGACCGCCCCTCAAATAGTTAAATAAGTAAATTCTTTCTCAAAATATTCATTCAAACATTCATACACTAAATTAAAATAACAATTTTCAATGCAGTTTCAAATAAAACATTATTTTATATTATGTAACTTAATAAATTTACTGACTTTAAAGACCGCACTATCAAATTGAAAATAATTATATTTCTATTTTTAATGTTTCAATTTGAAACGTCGATTGTTTTGTCCATTATTACTCAACAAAAATACATCAAACTTCTTTCTAAAAAAAATTGTGATTGGAAATATTATTTAGTATTTGTTAAAATTGTTTTTTTTTATGAGTTCAGGAATCCGTCTATAAAACATTACATTTTGTTATATTGATGACGAAATGTATCATACATATGAGTGGAAATAATATACGGTTTAGTTTTGGGAAAAACAATGTCAATAAAAAGAAATATTTAGAAATTATAATTTGTAACTGGTTTGAATTCATTTTGAATTCATGAAATCAAAGAAACTAACTAAAATATTTTGAGTTCATATCCGTTTTCTAAAAATCAAGTAATGTAATGTTTCTATACCGATTTTTTTTAATGAATAAAAGAAATGATGAAAATTGAAGAAGAAAATTGTTTATAAAGAGAATATTAATGAGAATAATGATTATTTTTGGTGAACTTTGATTAAAAAATCTCAAATAATCAAGAGAATTTTAATAATTAATAATTAGTTTAGTTAAACAATGAAAATGGATGACCATTAAATTTTGGCAGTTTATTACAAATATACAGTAGTAAAAAAAAATCTAATGAATACAATGAATTAGTTATATGAAAATTTTGAAACGTAATATTTCAAAATTTTTATATAATTAATTACGTTTTTAAAGAAATTTAATTGGAAAATAGTAATTTGTATATAAAAAGTAT